GTCAAAAGATCACAAATCGTATCTAGTTGAAGACATTACCCTTAAAAATTGAAAAAAATTCCCTCGTTCCCCGCAAATGGGGGAAATATCCAAAAAAATTACAAATTTAAAAATCGCTAATTTTCGAAATTTTTTCACTTTTTTTTCTTAAAACTTCTATAACTTTTTGAAAAATCAATATATCAACATAATTTTTTTTTATACTAAAACCTTAGATATTTACCTTTCATTTGATATCATTTTTTTGAAAATCTATCACGTAACCTGCTCATTGGGGGGATTTAAAATGGCAACTTTTTTACAAAAATTAATTTTTTCAACTTAATTTTTGAAAATGTTCCGGAAAGACTGCGTCCTTTAAACATATATCAAATTAAAGCTTATTTTATGTACTACAAAATGAAAAAAAAAAATTTGTCCCGACACTTTTTTTTCTACATTTAAACGGCTGCCGTAGTTAAAAAAACACTATTTTTGTGTTAAAATTTTCGATTTTCGATTTTAAATTTTCAACTTAAAAATGCTATAACTTTTTGAAAAATGTATATATCAGCACAAATTTTTTTTTTCTAAATACATTATAAGTACATCTTTCATTTGACATACTTTTTATTAAAATTGGACAATTTCCCCTTATATAGGGGGCGTTCAAAACTTAAAATATTGTAAAAAACATAGATCTTTTTCAACTGAACTTTTGAAAATGTTCCGGAAATACTGCGTCCTTTAAACATATATCAAATCAAAGGTTATGTTATATACTATCAAATGAAAAAAAAAAATTTGTCCCGACATCTTATCTTCTATGTGCAAATGGCTGTCGAAAATTTAAAAAAAAATGTAATGTTTGCGATAAAAATTACATTTTATCGGGATGTTTTTTGTACTTAAAACTGCCATAACTTTTTCAAAAATGAACAAATAAAAATAATATTTTTTTGTATTGAAACCTTAGATATTTCCCTTTCATTTGATATAATTTTTTTTGAAAATCTAACACTTATTCTGCTCACTGGGAGGATTTAAAATAGTAACTTTTTTACAAAAAATAATTTTTTCAACTTAATTTTTGAAAATGTTCCGGAAAGACTGCGTCCTTTAAACATATATCGAATTAAAGCTTATTTTATGTACTACAAAATGAAAAAAAAAAATTTGTCCCGACGATCTATCTTCTATACGCAAATGGCTACCATATTGAAAAATATACTATTTTTGTATGATAATTATGGGTTTTGTATTTTATTTTAATAGAAGTTGATGTTGCTTTTGCAATTATCCATCAATTTTTTAAAATTAAACACTATCTACAGATTTGCATCGAAGCGTTTCTTATGATAGTGATTTTAATCACTGTCAGATTAAATCTATACTGGACCCTACTATGCAATGTCTCCACTATGCCGCGACCCCACTGTGCTACCGTTTTTACTATAAATTTTTATTTTATTTAACTGAGGAAAGCGAAATGATAATTTTTCCAACCGTATTTTGACTGGGGGCAATACCTGCCATACTGGTTCCGGCATCTTTATATAAGAAGATCGATCGGGTTAACAGACCTAATTAAACTATTTGTAGTACTAGAGACAATATTTTTTTCTTTTAGCTTCGATGCGAAGCTGAGAAGGTATTAATTTTACTATGAAGTGTTTTTTTTTTTTGTATCTGTAAACGTTCAATCTCAGCTCTCGCTGGACCGATTTTGATGAACAATACGTCAAAAGATCACAAATCGTATCTAGTCGAAGACATTACCCTCAAATATTGAAAAAATTTCCCTAGTTCCCGTATATGTGAGAAATCTCCAAAAAAATTACAAATTTAAAAATCATTAATTTTCGACATTTTTTTCAATTTTTTTACTTAAAATTGCCATAACTTATTTTTTATTTTATTATTTTNAAAATCATTAATTTTCGACATTTTTTTCAATTTTTTTACTTAAAATTGCCATAACTTATTTGTTTATAGATACTTTAGATATTTACCTATTATTTTATATATTTTTGTGAACATTTGACCGTTTACCAGCCCACAGGAAGGGTTTCAAAATGGTAACTTTTTCAACTTAATTTTTGAAAGTGTTCCAGAAATACTAACACTTTTATATATATTTTTAATTAAAGATTATGTAATATACTTTATTTTGAAAAAAAAATTTGACCTCTGGACTTGTCTTCATAGTGAAAACAGACATCAAAGTTAAAGGAAAACGTACGTTTTCCGTGAAAAAATTCTTGATTTTATATTTTCTATTATTAAATTTATATTGCTATAACTTTTGGAAAAATGTATGGATCAATATTATTATTTTTTTATAAATAACTTTTATATACCCCTATTATCTGACACACTTTTTTTGTAAATCGGAGGATCATACCCCTTTATACAAGGGGGGTCAAAACTTTAAACATGCGTATTGAAACTAAGACATTTTCAATTTAATTTTTGAAAGTGTTCCAGAAATACTAACACTTTTATATATTTTAAATTAAAGCTTATGTAATATACTTTATTTTGAAAAAAAAATTTGACCTCTGGATATGTCTTCATGGTAAAAATGACTACCGTATTCAAAAATATGCTATTTTTGTGTTAAAATTCTGGGTTTTGTATTTTATTTTATTTTAAAATACCTGACAAGGGGAGTACACAGATTTTTATAAATATTATATAAATAAAATTGAAATAGCATAGAAAGTTAAACTTATTTAAATTTTTTTGCTTTTTTGAAATCGAGAAAAATAACTTTGACATTTGAATTAGCTTAAATAGCTATTTTTTTCAGTCGATGGTAGCGACGAACGGTTGCCAAGTCTTTAAAACTTGTGTTTTACGCGCTTGGGGTAAAAGGTTCCCCAACCCGCTTGTGGCAAAGAATTTTTTGCATTTTTTTCTTAATTTTTTTTAAGTTAGAATAAATGTTCAACTCATTTAGTAACAATAACTTCAATAAAGATCAAGGATCCCATCACTGTGTCGCCACTCGCGAGAATAAATTTCTTATTCATATTAAAATTATTTTACTATATTTTAAGTTTTAACTTCGATGTAAAGCTGAGACGATAATTTGTTGTGAATATCATTTATTTTCTATGCTCTAACTTGACCTACTTTTTTCAACGATACGTCAAATGACTACAATTCGTATCTAGTTGATGATATTACACTCAAAAATTGAAAAAAATTCTTATTTAACTATTAAACAGTTACTTATCCCATGTTATCCATACAGACAATTAAAATCATTCATTTCTAATGTTTTCAAAGTATTTATTGACGAATTAATTTTGATATGATAGGTTTCAACTACAAAATTAAATCATTTTACTTTGTAATTTAATAATTTTTTTACTCTATTTGTGTGCTACTACTAGACTATAATATTACAAATTTTTTGGTAACATGTTGCTTTATAAATCATTTCTAAAAAAAAATGATTGTCAGTTTCTCCTGAACTAATAATGGATTTTTACAATTATAATCAAATTTTATTATACACTCAATTGAGTAAATCTTTTTAACAACTTTGTTTTGATTGGTTCATTTAGGTAAAGTAAATCATTAAAATTAATGAAGTTCTAAATATTTCAATTGCACAAACTTTACAAACACCAAAAGTTACTAGGTTGTACTTAATAGGTTACTAGGTAAATATAATCTAATAATTAAATATTTTTATTACATATTTCTGACTGTAGTATTTAAACATTTTTGTGTTGATCTCTATGTAATCAAATTAATTAATTAATAAAAAATGAGGACTTACTTAATTTGAAATAAAAATAAGATTGGTTATAAATTCACACAATAAAGAAATTTCATCTATTACTCGTTTTTTCATAGCAGGCTATATTAATTTATTATAACAAAATTAACTTTTATGAATCTATTTATAGAATTTCTATGGAAAATTCAATAATAAATATATAATTATTAGGCGTTAATAAATAAAATAAAAAAAAATAAAATAAATAATATTTTTATAATAAATTTCTACTCTATGACAATAAATTTTATTTCAGTTTAAAAAAATTGTCTACTATGACTGTAAGAAGTTGATGTAAACAGTTTAAATAACAAAGAAAATAGATATAAAAATAGCAATAGCTGTTTATTCACTGAAAAAAATATATAAATTGAAACTGATGTATTAAATTTGTAGATTATTATTATTGAGAAATTTTTAGAGAACAAATATTTATTAGCTTAATGAGTGTGACATTAAAATAGAAATTAATATAGGACTTCAAAAATAAAAAATTCTTAACTGTTCATTCACTAGTGAAGTCCTATAATATAATTGGGAACACATAAGTTCACAATATATTTGATCTCTTAAAAATCATTGTCACTATTTCAGTAATTAATTGAGAATATTGTATCGCTTAAAACTGTCATTGAAGATTGGTTAATTATAATCTTAAAATTACTTAAATTGAGGTATAACAAGTTTAAATGACTTAAAATTTTTATGCTTGCATAAATATTTAGTTACAAATATAAGTAATATTATATTTAATAAAATTTGTAAGCGAGCTACTTGGTGTTTTCAAAAATATTTTATTTTTATTAGCAAGTGAAGTAATTTTTATCATCGGCTAAGGTTTTGATATTTAATTTGGGAACGTTGGTTACAATCGAACATTTTTATATTTTTAATATCCCTTAAGTACAAATTAATTATATTTTGTACATTTAAATTTTACTATTTTCTTTTGCAATTAAGAAAGTTACATTATATTACTTTAAATATTTTTACTAAGTACATTGTAATTAATTTATTTTATTTATTCAGGTGTGGTTCCAAAACAGAAGGGCTAAATGGCGAAAACAAGAAAAGGTTGGACCTCAGGCCCATCCATACAACAACAATCCTTACTGCGTTAGTTCTATATCAGCTACCGCAATGAGCCCTTCGCCTTTTGGTCACATGGGTCTACAGCAAGCAGCTGCTGCACTCCATAGACCACCGGCTAGTTCTATTGAAAATGGTTTTTTGAGGTTCCATTCAACGGCTGGTGCTGCAGTTCCTACTTCCTCTTCATCTCCGCCACCATCTCCATCGCCACTGTTTCTGTCGCCACATTACGCTGTAGCAGCTGCAGCTGCTGCTGCTTACAGTCGACGTCCCGATCAAATGGGGACCGGTCGACATCCTTCACAGTCACAACCAACTCCACCTGCGATTGTTGGGTTGCCAGCGGTTTCGTCTTCACCACATCACCACCACCAACAACAACACCATCATTTTAACAATTTGTTGGCTAATATGGCAATGGCTGCGGCGGTTGCAATGCGACCTCCAACACATCCAACTATTATAGATACAATGCCGCCGTCCAGCCCCACCGGTTCGGCATCATCAAACTCGTCCGTATCTTCAAGTGGTGGCACTAGGGACGATGTTATTGTTCGCCGTTCTTCTAGCATTGCAGAGCTTCGATTAAAAGCTAGGGAACACAAATTGGAAATAATGCGTAATAACAATAACGGCGGAAATGGTAGTGGCATGACAAACTCTTCATAATGTCTCATAGATCAAATTTGTTGGATTTTGGTAAAATACTAAAAATCAATTTCAGAACTCATTGTATATAGATTTTTAGTGATATATCTAAATAATGTATTTTTTTATTTATAACATGAAAATTGTAAAAAAAAAAATTTAACATTATTTTCGTATTATGGTAATTTTATAATTCTATTAAATATCTGTATATTAAAAATATTTATATACGTATTTAGTCTTATTCAGTGGTGTCATTTTTTAATGGCTGCGATTGTTTGAATGATCACCTTGCTATAATTATGGTTCACTTAACAGTTATACAAGTTTTTGAACAAAAAAAAGGTCGCTTAAAATTTTTTTACAAGAAATAAAACAAATAAAGTTTACTTTTGTTCTTTAAATTTATATTATTGAGGAAGGGATAATTATTTAGTTGAGAATTCAAAGCAAAGCCTAGATCTATGATAGAGTTTAACTCACGCGAGTTATTTAGTTCAGTAATACTTCAGTGAAACTCAACAAGATGTTTTGTTCTATGATACGTAAAGAACTTGCATTTGGTTAAATTAAGTGATACTTCCATTGAGTTTGACCATTCAAATATAGGAACTAATCCAAGATAGTAGTGGTTCACCAAAACCATATTGTCTAAGAACAGTAATAAGGGTCGTATGATCCACAGAGTCAAATGCTTTACCGAAATCATTATATATAACATCTACTTGTAATTGATTTTGGAAAGCATTTAAATATAATTGGTGAATACAAGATTACAGATGGAAGATGAGCGACCCGGACGAAAGCCATGCTGTTCTTCCATTAAAATGTTATTAACAGGTCTTTGAATTCCATTAAACATAAGCAATTGAAATATCAAAAATAATAATTTTATTTAAAATGTATTTTGTATATTTGATTATATTTTGTTCACGTTGTTAAATCATGCTAGTATTAACACTTTGTGAAGACTTAGTGAATACCTTAGTCTTTCAACGCGGGCAGTATGTTTGGTACAGAACTCCTCCAGCAAAGACCTAGTAGACCAGTTGTTACAAACATTGTTGATTATATTATATCGTGTGAGAGCTGATCTCTAGCGTCTTGCTTTACTCACCCCCGATTTTTCCACAACTAGCCGTCTTATGGTTTATCTGCTTCGTAAAGTTCTCGATTTTATTATTTTATATTTCTATAACTTTTAGAAAAATGTATGGTTCAATACAATTACGATATATATATAATGACAGCTGATATTGTAACACGCCTGCCATGTTGAGAGGGACCTAAATAAAAAATAGGGACACCTACAGAAAAAAAATAGACGAATTGATCAGGATATTACAATTATATTACAGTTATAGCAAACATTACAATGTTAAATAAATTGTTTTACTTCCTGCTATAAAGACAATAGACTATTACACTACCTTATGTTGAAATAAAAATATGTCCTTATATAAAAAAATTCGATGCAATTCTGCAGATAGTATTGAATTTTAAGAAATTGATGATGAATGTATACCAAAAGCAAAATTAATTCCTATTTCCTTAATTATTTCTGATTAGTAGTTTTTTAATTTTGAAATATAATATATGATTAAATATATATTAAAGGAATTAAATATAGTATGAAATTTATACTTAACCATTTAGTATTGTAATTGTTAGGGAGAAATTATGAAGTACAGTGGACCCCCGGTAATCCGGCCCCTGGTTAATCCGGCGCCCCTTGTAATCCGACATGTCTATTATTATTGGGTATTTTTTTTTACAATCTTCGATAATGCATTTGAACAGGTTACAATTGTGCCATCACTATTGTACTCAAAGTATAGATTCTTTGTGTACTGTTTATTCATTGTGTATTACGTATACGTACCTAGTAAATTATGTCGTCACAAGCCCAGAAGCGAAAGCACAAAACACTGACAATTAAAGAAAAATGTGATATTTTAGACCGTTTAAATCGTAATGAATCTTTTAGTAGTTTAGCAAGTGAATATGGCGTAGGCCGATCTACAATTTATAATATTAAAAAAAATCATGAGAAGATTAAAAACTTCGTATCAACTACTGACTGTGGGCCAGGCAAGAGACAGACACTCAAGAAAGCTGAACATCCAGAAGTGGAAGAAGCTTTGTACATGTGGTTTCTTCAGGAAAGAAATAGGCATGCTTCAATTTCGGGACCCATGTTGGCCATGAAAGCTAAGTTTTTTTATAAGGAAATTATAAAAAAAGATGATTTTGTGGCTAGCAAGGGATGGTTAGAACGTTTTAAAAGTCGTCATGGCATACGTTTAATGACTATAACAGGAGAGAAACTTTCTAATGATGCTACCTGCATAGAGCCATTTAAATTAAGATACACACGATGTAATTCAGGACAAAGAATATGACCATTGAGAATATCAAAAATAAACATTATGTCCGCTAGAGTTCGTCTGAGGGACAGACTATCAAGGCCAAATGTTTCCTGTAGTGGAATAACTGAATTTTTCGAGTAGGGAAGATTTAATTTGTATGAAATATTTTTAAGAAACTTATTTTGAACATTTTCTAGTTNATTAATAAATTTAATAGTTAGACCTGATTCACCATTATTTGAACGTAACACAAGCTCCTCCTTCAAACTCTTCATATAGTCTCTCTGATGGGGTGTTCTATCAGTAGATATGAATGTAGTAGAAGGTGGATTGGAGTCAGTGAGTTTTTTTTTGTTACGAATAATATCAAACACGTTTGATTCCGATTCAAAAATAACTTTAATAGGACGAGGTTTACCAGACTGATAACGGCCAAGCCGAATGACCTTTAATGGTATAGGAGGATTTCCTGAGTCAACTAGAATAGACGCGATTGTATCGTTTACTTGCTTAGTATCAAAAGATATTCTCTCGTTAGACTGATTAGAATTGCACTCTTGAATATTATAGAAAATAAGATTTTTTGCTCGTTTGTTACGTTCATTGATTTCATTAATAATGAAGTCATTAGAAAGATTATGGTTTTGATTATTACCAAGGTTCGATTTCAGATTATTAACTTCAACAAGCAACTTATTTAATAAAGATTTGAGCTCTGGTAATTCTTTGAGACCCTTATCGCAGCCAGAACAAAAAAATTTGAGCAGTCTGTTTTTCATTCCCAGGCATTTTAGTTCAGAGGTTGATAGTCCGGAACATTTTGGGTGAAATAACAGTGTACACCCGTCACACTTAATAGGAGTGTCGAGGTCCGCAAATTTTAAATTACAAATATAGCAAATTGTACTTTTACCCATATTAGTATAGATAATCAACGATAACGTAGTGAGCGTGTTCCAAATGAATGCCAACAATAATAAATGGAAGAAAATATAGATAAGCGTACTCACGAGCGATTAAACGTACGTGTTACTCGGTCGGCTGTTGAAATATAACTGATTATAAAAGATATAAACTAATTATAAACTANAGGAGGAAAATATTTTTTATGAAATGTCTGACGATGAGATTATAAAAGAGATATCTAATAATACAACCATAAATCAGGAAGATGACGACGACGTAATTGCAACTACTCCGCAAGTGATAGCACAAGATGCAGCTAACGCCTTTGAACTGGGTTTGCAATGGGCTGAGGAGAATGGTACATCCTACAACTTTTACTTTTAAGAAGACTGAGGGACAGAGCATTGGTCTCGCGTTTCAATAATGTTAAGCAAAAAAAAATTGATAAATATTTTCATGCTTCATAAATTCATATCATGATTTTTATTCATAATTTTTGAATATTTTAGTATGTATATTTGTTTAAACACAATTACATTGTAATTGTATTCCTTAATGTAAAGTTATTGTTTTTTTTAAGTTCTCTAGCATTAATGACGTTAATTTTATAATAAAACATAAGCTTTCTATTGTGTTATTTAATTTACTTAAGTCGACATACATAATGAAGCATGATTTATACTTCACACCAGGGCCTATCAAGACCAAATCTTATCTTTGGATTTGTGATTTTTCGGATTACAAGGTACCCTTTTGTTAAAATTTCCGGACTATAAGAGGTCTTAGGGAATACTCTATAATCCGACAAATTCGATAGTTCGACACTGACCTGCAAAACGTTTGTCGGATTACCGGGGCTCCACTGTATTTGTTACTTAAATGGTACACGTGTATAATTATTTTCTGCTGCTTAGCATGAAATTCGTCAGGTCAAATAATAATTAGGACAATTTGATTGTATCATTAAAAAGCTGATTAAATTTCACATACAACTAAGTGATAAAATGCGGTCGTCGTTCTTAATATGTCGAGTTAATATGGAGGTTTATGTGACTTGGCGCCCATTGTTGTCACTACACGTCGAAAGTAATTTGAATTTTTAAAGATGTTCCGAGAGGAGTCCAGGCAATTTCATAATTTAATTAAAAAGATGTTTAAATTTTACATAAAATATTATAAATTACTAAGTTGAGAAATGCGGTCAAAGTTGGTATGACGGTGTATATGACAGTAAGTGTATATATGCTCCCACCGGGCGTCAATTCTTTGTTGTCTATACGACCATATATCATATATCCATATATCATAAAATATATTTGTGCAAAACATAATAAACAATGTAATAAAATGAAATTGATTTGACAAACAAATTTCCAGCGTATGAGCGCATGTAAAACAAAAAGAAGTCTACTTCTCGTTACAACAACGCGAAAAAGGCGAAACGATAGCTATTCGCATGATCAATGACGAACAGCCTGGCTGAAAGCGGTTTATCTCAAAAGTTATGACTTTTACATAAAAATTTAATAGAAAAAAATTGTAGATATGAATATTTTACATAAAAAAAGTTATAATTAAAAAAGTCATAAATCAAATATTTACCTCACAAAAGTTAAAAGTTCAACAAAATGAAAAAATGGGCGTATTTACTTTTGCGTAGTTTTTTGCGATTATATCCTAAGTATTAATGATAGTAAAATCTATCTTATGATAAAATATTTTTGAATTAAATTTTTAATAATATTTGTCTTGAGTACTATTTCCAAAAAATGGCTCATTCGATAACAAAATAACAAAACAAAAACACATTTTTAGTGTTTTTTACTATAGTATGATACGTTTGTATTGACAAAATAATAGATTATTTTTGTTTGTTGATTTCTACAAGGTATAAATATTATCGAAATAATATGGTCAGTTAAGTAATGATTGATCATTACCTACTTAAAAATACCTATTATTATTAACTGTGTTGATTACGTGCAATATCACAAACAAAGCATTTTAGTTCATATTTTTTAATATTCGAGAAAATAACTTGAGTGTTCGTTATAGTGCGCGTTTAGTGATTGATGAATCATTGATATTCTGGCAAAAAGCTCGAAAACCTACTAAAGAAGTTTGTAATTGTTTACCAAAATTGGAGGAATTGTACTATACATGGCGTAATTTGCAAAAAAATTCAAGTCGACGTACAAATACTCAGATAGATAAAGAAAATAAATTTGTACAATGTTTTGATGAGCTATTTGATATTGCTTATGCAAATGCATTAGACATGATGACTATTGATATAGATATGCAGTTTTTAATAAGTCAATGACAAATGGATCGTCCAGGATAATTTATTGGCATTGATGTAATTTATCAAAAAAAATAATTTAAGCAATTTAAAAAACTAAAAGAATTTGAGAAAAAAAGAAAACTTCATGAAGGTGAATTAAAATTAACTAGTAAGTATTTTGAGTAACAAATAAACAGTGAATAGTATAGTATTGTTCAGTCATATGCAATGTTTATTTAAATTTTAGCTAAAACTTTGGAATTCTGTTCTACAAGCGACGATATAGAAGAAATTATGCCTGATGATTTTGAGTTAGATCAAAATATTACGATATATAAATTATCTACAACGATTTATACATCATTATATTCATAAATTTATATTGTTTTATAGTTGTAAACAATGATGACTTCAGTAATTTGTTTAATGGCAATGTTAAAAAAACTAAAGATAAAACATAAAATTTAGAAGATATTAATTTTTCACCGGGTACATCTAATGAAACTAATGCTTTGCCAATATCAATCTCTATAAAACAAAGAGGCACAATAGACATAATGACTGTAAAGTTATCTTCAGCATTAGATAGGTGCAAATTAATTTTCTGAGGGCTGGATTTGACCATGTGATGTTACAATTAATGTTAGGATTGAATTTAAAGTTAGGGACATAAATATCAAAAGTATGCAAAATAATTTCATATAACTTATCCATAGACAAGTTTAAGTTTAAGTTATTGAAATGTTGTATAATATCTATTTTTGAGAGGTGTGCACATATATCACTTAGTTTACATAAGTTAAAATTGTAAAAAATAGGAGTTGATGTTTTACTAGGTGTATTAAAAGATATATTCAGTGAGCAAATAAACTCTAAAGGGGGGTGATAGACATCATACATCGGTGTTAAAGATGGACCTTTAGATAAGTTCAATATATTAAAATCAGTAAAAATCAGATCTAATAAATTGTTATGAAAATTTGTAATATTATTACACTGTTTTAAATTAAGATAATTCATAAGACTATTAAAAATAATATTAGCAGAAGTATTTAGCATAGGGTCATTGATTGACCACACACAACCAGGTAAATTAAAATCACCTATGATTATTATTTCCGAAATTAATTATGAAGAAATAGTATCTTCAACTAAGTCACAAAATGAAATGTAACTTTCTTTACTAGTATTAGGTGGAAAATATACACAACTTAATAAAACTTTTCTATTATTATAATGTAGTGAAACAAATATACAGGGTGATTTTTTTATCATAATCCACTCAATTACTTACAGAATAATAATTTAAAAATTTTTTTTTATTACTATCTTTAGTTACACATTATTCTTGAATTATTAACTATGTAATACTTTTTAAGTTCATCCCTTATGCCTGGTAAGGGTGTCAACTTTGTTTTTTTACATCGATATTAGCTGGTACACATCATTGTTATTATCAATGATAGTAAGGTACAATATCATAAAAAACCAATTAGCTACCTGTATTTGTAATCCTTGTATATTATACCTATATATTAACTCAAAAATTTGAAACTTTAAATGTATATATCTAATAAACAAATTAAGTTTTATTAAAAATTCAAATGCCATTTACTATTGAATTAAAAACTCAAACATTTTATTAAATTAAAAATATGTGTCACCATTTAATAAAACAAAGTTGACACCCTTACTAGGCATAAGGGATGAACTTAAAAAGTATAACATAGTTAATAATTCAAAAATAATGTGTAACTAAAGATAGTAATAAAAAAAAATTTTTAAATTATTATTATTCTGTAAGTAATTGAGTGGGTTATGATAAAAAAAACACCCTGTATAATCTATATTATTAATATTTTCTGAATTTAAAAGAACACAATTAAATTTATTACTTATAGCTATTAAAACGCCACCCCCTCTTGTTTCACAACTTATATCACGATTAGATCTAAAAATGTTATAATTAACTAGTCCTAGTTCAGCATCACTAATATTATTATTAAGCCACGTTTCAGATAAAAACAACAAATCACACTCAAGGTTATTTACAGAATCACGAAAATACAATAGTTTCGTCTAAAGACCTCGTACATTTTGATAGAAAGCATGTAAGTTTAAAAGTTTTTTTGTGAATTATAGTCATTTTTTTCGGATGTTTGTACAATTTTTGGTACTCCTTTAACACATTATATAATTAATCCAATTTCACCATTTGAAATACGCGTCGATAATTCTCCCCTAAGTGTTATTAAATTTTCTCTTTGATATTGAGTACGATCTGAGCATAAAGAAATTGAAGGAAAACAAGATGAACGTTTTTTTTTATTCTTAATGATATCAAACAAACGCTTCAGATGCAGAATTGAATGTAATCAATAAATGTCTAGGTTTATTAGATTGATAACGGCCAAGACGAAAAATTTTTATCGATACCGGCACTGTAACATTAGGTTCGTTGATTATAGTGTGTAGAATGACATTTACATGATCGCGATCATATGCAATGCGTGCTTCAGACTGATTTGAATCGCTTTCGGTGACATTGTAACAGATAAGATTTGCTGCACGCCTGTTGCGCTCATTAATCTCACTGATAACAAATTCATAGTCAGATTATATTTTTAAATTTTGTGACGTTGAGTTTTTAAGTACATCAACTTCCGTTAATAATTTTTATATAAGAATTTTTAATTCAGGTAGTTCCTTAAGTCCTTGATCGCAAGTCATACAGAAATATTTTAAAGATTTATTTTTCATCGTTACATAGTTTAACTCAGCAGCTGAAAGTTCCGAACATTTACTATGAACAGCTTCAGAGCAACTATCACATTTTACAGGTACATCTAATTCCGCAAAGCGGGTCAAACATGCCGAACAATTTAAAGGTGTTTATGGTTGAAAGAATTAAAGAAGGGTATGTCCGTGAATTTAGCACCCGAAATTAACTGATAACTAACCATTGATAAGAATTTAGTAACCATATTGGTTAATTACGAACATTAGGTTGCAGAACCCGCTATTATCAAGGGGTTTTCTATTTAATATTTTTGAATTAAAAGTAATTGATAGAAATCACTAATTTACTATATGCATTATTTTGTATTATTTATTTTATTTTGTATGGTCAGACTTCAACGACTNTTTGTATTATTTATTTTATTTTGTATGGTCAGACATCAACGACTATAAACAAAATGAATTTTTGAAATATTTCATCTTTTCAATGGTATAAGATTTAGTCACCAACAAAGTGGGCAAGTGACTTAAAAAATTAATTTCCTTGAATATATACGACGATTTACGATATATGATTATACATTTGTATAAAAAATCATGGGGGGGGGCATGTTCCCATCATTTGTACACCTTGAAATTAAGTTTTTCTAATAACAAATTTTGTGGGCTTTTCAATGGTATAAGATTTATTGGGAAACAAAGTGGGCAAATGACTTAAAAAATTAATTTCCATGAACATATACGACGATTTAGATATATCAATATATTCTTGTATAAAACTTCATGGGGAGGTACGTTCCCATCACTTGTACCCCGCGAAATTAGGTTTTTCTAATAGCAAATTTTGTGGGCTTTTCAATGGTATAAGATTTAGTGACCAACAAAGTTGGCAAGTGACTTAAAAAATTAATTTCTGTGAACATATACGACGATTTACGATATATGAATATATTCTTGTATAAAACTTCATGGGGAGGTACGTTCCCATCACTTGTACCCCGCGAAATTAGGTTTTTCTAATAGCAAATTTTGTGGGCTTTTCAATGGTATAAGATTTAGTGACCAACAAAGTTGGCAAGTGACTTAAAAAATTAATTTCTGTGAACATATACGACGATTTACGATATATGAATATATTCTTGTATAAAACTTCATGGGGAGGTACGTTCCCATCACTTGTACCCCGCAAAATTAGGTTTTTCTAATAGCAAATTTTGTGGGCTTTTCAATGGTATAAGATTTAGTGACCAACAAAGTTGGCAAGTGACTTAAAAAATTAATTTCTGTGAACATATACGACGATTTACGATATATGAATATATTCTTGTATAAAACTTCATGGGGAGGTACGTTCCCATCACTTGTACCCCGCAAAATTAGGTTTTTCTAATAGCAAATTTTGTGGGCTTTTCAATGGTATAAGATTTAGTGACCAACAAAGTTGGCAAGTGACTTAAAAAATTAATTTCCGTGAACATATACGACGATTTACGATATAGCAATATAAGTGGGCAATTGACACTAATAGGAAATTGAAAGTAGAATTATTTTTTATTTTTTGCAATTCTTATAATATGTATATTCATTCTTACAATGTTATTGATAAGACAGAATAAAATATAAAATTATTACATAAGAAATGTAGACAAATCATTTTGACATTTTATACAACGTTAATATAGTTGTTTACACTTGACAATAGGATTGACATTTTGTATTTAATAATAATAATAGAGTAAAAAATAATGACTATTAATAAATTGATTTTTTCTCGGTAAAGAGTGATTTTTACATGACAAATAATTTATTTATAACTGAAACGTGTGTAATGTAATATAATTAAACATTATGTGTTTGTTAAAGATAATTCTAAGTTATTTATTTAATTATATTTGTTGAAAAGAATAATGTCATTTTAACCAAATGAATATGATGTATCAATAAAGTGATACAGTGATTATGTAAAACATAAGATTAAATAAATGAAAATTTAAAAAACAAAATATAAAATGATATAAAATAAAAAATATGTTAAAATGTAAAGAAAATTAAAATGGACATGAGCCGGCCAAATGCCCCTCTCTCAAACATGTGTAGCATCCTACAACAAAATAAAATTACTATTTTAGTTAAAACACTTAAATATAATTCTATTATAAATTATAACTTTTATTTTATATATTCCAAAATTGATTACTAATTACATAAATGATTTTATTTAAATAATTATTTAAAATGTACTGTTTGGAATATTTCTTTTTGTGTACCATCCAAGTCTGTAAATTCAAATAGTACCTTAGATTTATGGTACTTACGTTTTGGATTTTTACACTCCCGGGCTATATGTCCCACTATTCCACACCGGTAGCATTTAGCTGTAATAAGAGACATATATTAATCATAAAACTAAATGATATATTTGGTTATACTTACATTTTGGGGTATTTACAATGCCGAAATTGGCAGGTTGATGATGAGTATGGATATGAATAATATTCTGTAAACAGATGTAACGATTAGTGAAAGACTATTTCTTATTTTTTTAAATTTAAATTTCACTCCCCATACAATTTAGAAATTAAAAGTAATAATATTTTTACATTAATTTTTGAGTTTGAAACTAAACAAGCTTTCAAAAATTATTTTTCCAACTCATACATAATAAACTAACCAAAAAAAAAATTGTTTTTTGATTTTCCAAAAAAAGGACACCAAAAAAAGGTAGCCGTCTAAACTTGAAGTTTTTTTATCAACCTTAAAAAGTCATTTTGATATCATGGTAAAATGGCATTTTGGTATAAAATCGCTAATTTTTCAAAGAATATATTTTTTAATTACTTTTGAAAATTCTAAATGCTAACATTTTCTACATCAAATTATATACACATTTAATTTTATCTATTTTTTCTATTTTTTTTTATAATTTCGAAAATTTCACTATCATAAAAATGCTAAAATGTTTTGAAAAATTAAAACGGATGACGAATAAACATTTTGTGGTCAGTCTAATACATATATATAGTAATTAAATATACTTACTCCATTTCCTAAAATCTTAGGAATATAANATTAAATATACTTACTCCATTTCCTAAAATCCTAGGAATATAGGGATTGTATCTATTATTCCCTAACGATTTTTTGTGAATCATTTTTTTGTTTGTTTCATTATGATTTTTTACAATATTACAATTGTTTGATGTNTTGTATCTATTATTCCCTAACGATTTTTTGTGAATCATTTTTTTTTTTGTTTTATTATGATTTTTTACAATATTACAATTGTTTGATGTGATGGGATTTTCTGTTGGTGAAGTTGGGTTTGTTGATACGGTTGGGGGACTTTTTGGGGGGCTTAATTGCAAGTCTCCAAATTCTCTTTTATCTTCCATTATCTGAAATAGTAGTTACAAAAATATAAATTTAAAAGTTGAAAATAACACTGCCCTCCAAACAAAAATTGTTAATTGCAAGGGCGTGAGAGGTTAAAAAACGAGTATTGCAGAGTTTTTTGTATCATAACAACAAAGAATTGACTTGAAAAATTGGAAAGATAAATTTCCTAAGAAAATCTATATAATATTTACAATGTTTGGTTACAATATCTCTAATATTAAGTTATTACAATAATTTCAGAAAAATGAAAACTGAGGCCTAAAAATACAAAACTACAATTTTAATATATTTTTATTAAACTTTGAGCTTTTTGCGCGCCTTGTTAACATAGTTGTATAAATTTTATTTTTTTAAATAAATTATCTTTAGACGTTAAAAATAAATTTTCTTGCTACGCTCCTCAAGTTTCGAACAAAAATTTTTCTTTATAAATAAACAACGGGCATCNACAAAAATTTTTTTTTATACATAAACAACGGGCATCCTAATATCTATACTGTAAAATCAATACGATATTCTGTTTAAAATACTGCTAATGTTTAACACTGCTATACAATCACTGAAGATAACAACTACATGAATTGCATGTCCACCAACTGGTTGTAGTTCAGGTAACAAAAGTAATAATTTTTAGCCGTTCCACAGCTTATCTTGAAATCGTTTGATTAAAGTACGCTGCGTAATTTTAGATCTGCGATTATTAACTAAGATAAATGACTTTTATTTCCCCAGAAAAAAAAGAGTATAATGATGTTATTTTTAAATCGATAAAAAAATTATTGCGATATATTNTAATGATGTTATTTTTAAATCGATAAAAAAATTATTGCGATATATTACTAATAGAATAGCTAAAACATTATCGTTTAACATAATATTTATTAGTTAGCAAAATTTAATTAATCAGTGGATATAAATAATAAAAAGGTGTCTAAATCATATATTAAAATTCTATAGGTGAATTTAGATTTTAAAAAAACCAGCTCAGGAGATCGCGGCACAGTGGTGACATAGCATAGTGAGATTAAGTATAATGATATCTGACAGTGATTAAAATCTTTAGATAGTGTTTAATTTTAGGAAGTTGGTGGATTAAACCATAAACTATGCGATTTTGTATTTCTTTTATTATTC